CACACACACGCCTACTTCCCTACTCAGGATATACTATATCACAATAGGTGCATCCTAGGTGGGAGTCCTTTCAGCCCGATCAGCATTCTGCCTGTTGACCGTCTTCTAGGCCACAAAGTCGTGATAGTTTCAAGTGTGTCAGATTTACTTTCATGAGGAATAGGTCGAATTAGCCCGAGTACGGATTCCTCAGCATCCGCATCTCGCTCCTTTTCCCCTAGCACGTGCACCAGTCGACTATCGCAGCTCGTGGCTCAAGGTTTAGAGGGTTAGACTCTGCTCGAAAAGCTGGCCAGTTCCAGCCTCGGATGGTGCACCACTGGGGGCTGAATATGACTGGCTGACGATGGTTAATAAGCCAGAAATGGCCATTCCAGTTTCCCTTGGCTTTGCCAGCAGTAATATCTGTCTAGATTGCTAGTCGCTACGGCTGCTGTCATGGTCCGAGGGATGAAGCTCAAGGTACAGCAGGACAAATAAGTTCCGTTAGCGGTTGGTGAACGTCCGTCAACGATTATCGCAGCCTCTTTGTTAACTGCTGGTTGAACTGAACGACAGGGCTTGTGACACGCACCTAGGGCTCGTGTAGACTCAGAGCAGCGTACTCTGAGCCCATCTGACTACCATTTTGGTCCAACGCGTTTCCAGCGCAACTCGTCGTGAGTGCACTAGAAACAACCTCTGATTCACCATTTCTTAAAGGTGATTAATGAGCCGCTGTACGACTCTTACTGTCTAGAGCAGAATCGACTTACAAGCTCAGAGGCCGTTTGGGCACACTGTGTGGTCAATTTGAGACATACACCGCGTGACCTTTAAGTTGAGATCCAAGAGTTCGTACTGTTTCCGATTCCCAGGAATTTAGTAACAGTGGGGCAGATTTGCGTAGTGCCTGTTTTGCCCGCTATCCCCCACACCCAATGTGCACTAATGGCTATCGGATGTAAGAACAACCGCAGACGAGCTGACAAAGGCAAGCGAGTCTTCAGCGTGTGCCACACACAACCTGGTCTTTAACCCCACGTGAACCCT